ACCAGACAGCTGCAGAAAAAACAAGACAGAATCAGCTGGTCAGAGCCAGGGGCAGCCTTGCTGCTGACAGCCACGCTGGCTGCACATGGAAAAGTGACCCTGGCTGGGTAACAGTGTGCAGCGGGCCTGTCAGGAAAGCCATGTGAGGCCTGGCTGTGGCTTCTCGGCTTCTTCAGATCAGTGGGTTTGAGCTGGTAAGCTCAAGAGTGAGGAGTCAATTCTGTTAACTTGTTGCTGAGGATTTTAGAAGTCACTCTTAGAAGCAGGTAATGAACTTCTATTCAAAACCTAATCAGGTATGAGGGGCTTGTTTGTTTTTAAATACATTTCAACTCCTTTCCTATTTCCTGACAGAATTCAGTTCTGAAGCTCATGCTATTTCCTTTTCTGCCACACAACAACATTTTAAAGAGCTCAAAATGTATTTCATGAGTACTTAACCTTAAATGCTGAACTAAAGCCAATGCTCTTTGAAAATATGCTTTAGGATTTCCTTGAAGCAACTTTTATATCAGTCTTTGTTCTGGAAGCAGGACACTGACACATAAGATGTTCCCAAAGATCATGTGGTTGGACCGTTTAGAAATGGCCAGAAGGTGAGCCCTGGAAGTGCTTTCTGCTGTTAATGCTGCTAATAAGAAGCTGTGGTTTGTGAAATAAAATATAGTCTGGGACTACATTACACCTAGAAGCCTGCAACAACTCCTGTAGCATCCAATCGAGAAAATGCTAGACATAGCCAGAGGCATCGTCTGGCTGAGGGACCTGCTCCCCCCTCAAAAGTTCAAATGCAGGCATTTTTTGGGTGCTTACAGGAGCATTTTTATTCATTTGCACCACAAAGCTCCAAGCAGCCAGAGTGCAAAAGCACAATTCTGATCAGCTCTGAAGGCTGCAACAGTGCCAACCTATATCTGCAAAGCAATGCCAGAGCTGCTGGTGAGACCGTGCAAGGCTAGAACTTAATGGGAAGATATCCCTGAGACAGAGAAGCTGAGCTTGCCAGCCATATCCCAGAACAAATAGCTCACTGATTTGGCCAGTCAACTCAAGAAGTAGGTATTATGTATCTACAACAAAAGAATACAAAAAAAAATCATACCCACACCACACAATTTCAAAAGGACCATTCTCCCACATTCAAGACAATGGCAAGCATTCAGAGCTGCATCAGCATCTCCATCTTGCTCTCTGGAAAAGAGATCACACAAGGTGGAGAAGGGAGAGAGGTTCCTCCAGCATTTTCTTACCAACCATAAACCAGCAGGGCTTGGTTCAAGGCTCTGCTCCAGGTATTTGTGGAAGGAACTGTTTCTATTTACTTTTCCCTTTGCATTTCAGACAAAAGATGAACAAATCTGCTCCTGAATAATGCAGTATGTTGATGTTTAGGATGCTCAAGTGAAAGGCAGGAGGCCCAAGTTCAAGTCCTTGATTTCAATCAGGTGAAGTAGAAACATCAAATTCTTTCCTCTGATCACAGAACACACTGATATCTGAGATTTCTCTGCTTTTGATCCACACAACCACTGAAGAAAAATTTGTCAAACTCGGGGCTCCCGTAACCAGTGGGATGTTGGTTTGGGTATTTTTTTATTGAGAAAGGGGGTTGTGGTGGTGGTTTTGGGTTTTTTCTCTTTCTTTTCCCCTAGAGAATTGCCATTCTCTCAGATGTTTGAAACAGAGTTCTTGCTCATAAGAGTAGAGCATTAGCTGTGCTAATTAGTGCATCCTGACACAGCTGCAGGAGTGTGCTGATGTGTTTTATAAATTATGTATGTGCTAGGATTAGTTTATTGAAGAATTCCTGAAGAACCATGTGCATGTGCACATAGTAATTCAGCTGTTGCAGCCATTTGTGTTTCTCTGGTACTCTGAAGATCCTGCAGCACAGCTCTGAGCTTCACAGGTCTGACAAAGACATGCAGATAATGTGAGTGGCTGAAAATGAGAGAATGCATCAGGTGTAAAGGGTACTTCTGCCAATACCAATGCCTGTAAAAGGGAGATGAAAACTCACTAACATAGAGCATTTTAACTCAATGGGGTAGTAACAACAATCTTGTCTTGCTCTCTTCCACAAACAGCAAAATAAATTAACTGCAAATGAAAGCAGCCCAAGACTTCAGAAATACCAGCCCACACCAGCTTGTGATGGCAGCAGTGTGCAAGAGACCTCTATGTGTTCACAAGGATGTGACAATGCAGGCAAGTACAAGACCTCAGAAGTGGACCTAACCACACTTCTCTTCTTTACAAGCTGGAGGAATAGCGATTTCCCAGCTACCGAGTGACGTAGGTTGTAAACAGAGATTAGGATTGGGTTTCAATCACATATTCTACTATGAAATTTAGCAGGAAAGAATCCACTGTAAATTTTGGAGGAAAGGTTCTTTAATAAGCTGTCCATCCCATTTATTACTCCAGCTGAGACAGGCTGCATTTCAGAATTTTCTGCAAGCAACTGGTAAAATCCTGTGCTCTTGACTTCTCAAGGCAGCTGTGTCTTTCTGCTCATGCTTAGTTTGTGAGAGCTGCTTCTAAACAGCAAAACGTCATCTTCCTTGAGCCACTCACTTTGGAGAAGACTCACCAGTTTTGGTGAAATGTTCACTGGAGAGGTGGAAAAACCTCAGATGAGCTTTGGTTGATAGATCTTATATCATCCTGCCTTTCTACAAGCAGTTAATACTCCAGGCCAGACAAGGCTCATGCTTGCTCTTCAGAGGAAGAGTCAGCTTTGACTCTCTCTTTAAACAGAGAAAGCTGAAATAAGCAAATACAGTCTGTGACCTTGTAGAAATATAAAAAAGAACTTCATTAAAAATCAGTATTTCTCTGTCTAATGTGTTCTGGGGAGATGTAAGGGAGTGTTTTTCTTTCCCACCAATAAAGTTCTCTGGACATGAACTATACAAGGTGGCCTAGCAAATTTCTTGCCATAACAAGCTGCATGGTAAGCAAATAGTGACTAACAGGGTAGTTCAATATTTACACAACCTTTTCGGTTTTAAGTACATGGCAGATTATTAGTAAAGGTAAAACCTCTTCCGATAAATTAGTAAGATTTTCCACTGAACAGTTTACTCTTTTCCCAGAAGTAGGGAGTTACAATTCCAAGCACACAGCAAAACTCACATGGAAACAGTGGGCACACAGCAGGACGAGCAACCCACTGTAGGGTGAGGGGAGAGAAAATACACAGGATCAATGACAGAGCGAAGCAACCTGCACAGAGCAGTTGTTCAGTTGTTGTTGCTCAGTGTTGGCCACCTGAAGGGGACATGCTGCTGCTTGCTGGCTTGTTTTTTTGGGGTTCTTTACCACATAATGGAGCTCCCTACTGCTGATAACGTTTATTTATGTGAGGAGGTGAACACACTGCTTCAGAAACTGCAGTTGTGTGCACTGAAATTTCCTGTGAACAAAGGTTAAGATTGCAGCTTGCCTTCCTCCTCCTGCCTGAGAAACTAGAAATAACAAGAATGCAGACAGCATTTGGGGTTGTCTTTGGGGAAACCAGAACAATTCTTTATGCCCAGAGCCTGTACAAGGGCAGGGAGGTTGGATTAGATGACCTCCAGTGGTCTCTTCCAGCCTTACCCATTCTTTGATTCTGCAACACCAAGCGTGGGAGCTTTTCTTCTACTTTTCAAAACAAACAAAAGAACCAGAAAGTGAGACCACAAGGCATTTAGGAAAACACCAGGAAAAATGACCATGTCAAAGAAGAGTAGATGTTCATTCACTAGAAGTGAGGGATGAGAAAATTTTCTAACATAAAAAACTTTTAAAACATAAAGAAGTTTTGACTCAGCAACCTCAAGATTTTGGCTAAACCCCAGAATTTACAGTAAGATGTTTATACAACTGAGGAAAACACTCCCATAGTAATCTTGATTGCAGGGATGTACAATATAGTAAGTACAGAACAATTTTTTCAATAAGGTAACAATGTATCAGAGCTTGCTCTTATTGCCACTTTTGCTTGTGTTTGCAAGCACCCCTTCACCTTTCTCACCTAGAAAAGTAGAGCCTGTGTGGGCAGCCGGCCTATGACAGACGACCTACAGTACTTGTAAGACAATGTTTCAGGTTGTGTTCTTCACTCTCCCTCACAGCATCCCTTCTGAAGTGCTTCTTCACTTTCATCCTGTTTTAACAGGGACTTTTCCTGCTTTCCCAAGGTACTAGAGAGTTGTGGATCTGAAATAATTATTCTGAGGCCAGTGCTCTACAGCAATGTACTGCTAGAGTTGTACTGAAAGCAAAAATTTCCAATTCCTTAAAATAAACTAACCCTTCCTCAGTATTGGGCTTGAAAGCTTTTTAAAATTACTGGAGTCCAAAGAAGCCTCTTTTTCTGTTGCACATACATGTGTTTGTGTCCTTTATAGATGGGTTGTTTCCCTTGACACACTGACTCCCCTTACCTTGTTGCTAGGGAAGCAAGTACAATTCCACCATGCCAAAACTGAGATGACTCACCAGATACTCCACTCAAAGGAGTGCCCAGGCAAGAAAAACCTCCTGTCCACCACAGAGTACTCCAGTTCTTGGCAGCAAGAGCTGTGCCCTTGCCCAAGTTCTGATTGCCAGACTTGAAAACCCAGTCTCCCTACATGTGGGTACAGTTCTCTGAAGCTCTCCCTTACATGCAGAAATCCGCTAAATACGTCTACCCATCTGCAATTTCAAGTATTAGCAGCACAGTGATGGAAAGGCAACCCTGATCTCCAATCCCAACCTGTTTTGGGCTACAAAAACTGCTAAAAAAACATTTTTCAGACTTACCAAATGTTGCTGTTAACATGAATCAGTTACATTATCCATACTTCAGCTATTTTCTGTTTGGTCTACTGCTTCCCAAAAGTAAGAACATGGGGGAAGGATGAGCACAATCTAGATATATCCCAATACCCAGAACCATAATAATAATAATAATAATGATGATGAAGAATGTCCATGTGTTAAGATCACAGGAAGGGCATGTTTCAATGCCTGATTTTTAAAAGCCCTTGGTTAGAATGAGGTCTACAGCATAATACCTGCCTCTTGCCAACAATCATATTTCTATATAGTGATGACACTGTGTTATTCAGCTCTTTTCTTTAAAAAAAGCCCACAAAATTGAATGTCACCATGGGAACAGTCTAAAGTTGATTTTGGAAAGAGGCTCATTTCCTATAGCTTTTCTGTTGGCATAAAAATAATGTCACTGAACTGTACCAGAAGTAAGTGCATTATGAAGTATCATCTCTGAAGATACCATCCAGTTCCAAAAATATCCTCCCTAATGGTTGCATTTCTTTACTTTCTGAAGCAGAATAAAAGGCCCAGAAACACTTCTTCCCTGTTTTCCTCAACAAGAAACACACCCTAATTGTGTAATCTACCAGCAGTGTGATCTAATTCCACCATTCCTCAGCCTGCAATATGTAGCATCTGTATGGAAAACTTTCTCCTTGGAAGAACAATTAAACTTTAAAGCAGTCATCCTGGTTGGCTGGCTGAACAAATGACACATGTCCACACAAGAATTATTCATTCAACCATCTTAATAAGGATTTACTTTAAACAGAACCTTGTATGGGTACACTAGACTCAGTCTCATTAAGGAGCAAGTTGGATTTTTATACAGCATGAACCACTGGCAATCTAAAACAGACCCACTGAAGAACAGAATGGAGAATCAAACGCAATGTTTCAGACCCAAGCTCTATGTGCCTTTAATGCTTTCTTTTTCCTTTTCTTTTTGAGAGAGTGCACACTACGACAGACATTTGCATTTATCATGTTTTTAACTTCTTTTCTAAGGATGAGCTCTCTGAATCTGCGTCTTCCAACTCCGCTCTGTGTCTTTTCAGTCCTCCAAGAGACTGAGTGCTCTCACTGCCCGCAGGATGCAGGTCAGCAGTATCCTCTCTTGTGCTCACGCTGTAGCTGTTGGAGTCCATTTCAGACAGGCAGCAGTCTTTGTGCAAGGTCACACCCACCTGTACAAGGTTGCCATTATCAGCATTTGAGTGCACCTGTAGTCCTTGTGTCACAGACTCCTGCTCTCCAAAAGTCTGTCCATTGTTGAAGCATGAAGGGTGAAGATGCAAATGGCCATTATTGTGGTTAACACAGGAGGGGTCGAAGCTCCTCTCCTCACTGCCATCAGTCTGGTTTCTGGAGCAGTGACCTGACATGCTACAGATGGCAACAGCAGAGAACGGAGGGACCAGTGAATGATGGCTTGGTGCTGGTTGACAGTTCTGACTATTTTTCTGTTCCACAAGTCCTGTGGTCTGAATGCAAGGTTCTTCGGTACAGCTATTTAGCCCTTTGCAGTTAGCTTTTCCATTGAGCTTTTTAGTCTCAAAAGAATGCTCTACACCTCCACTGCTTGTGTCTTCAGATGTGTTTTCTTGACCCTCCATCCACCGCTGATTGTCACATTCATGAGCTTGACCATTACTAGAATTTTCTATCCCACCACATTCTTTTAAATTTTCTCTGCTGTGGTTTTCAGCAGAAAGAGCTGAGGAACCCTGAGGAACTACTGAACTTAAGTTCCTAGCATCTTCCTTAGTTAGCGAGCATGTTGCACTGTGTTTTCCACTGGTTCCTGGTTTCCCTTCATCATTTTCTCCATCTCCTCTGGAGCATTCACCATCTTTACTAGCCGAATATGATATGTAAGAGTAATGGAGCCATTTATAAGCTTTGTAAATCTTTCTCTCCACTGATTCACTGTCTGAACAAGGGGACGTCCTTTCTTTAAGAACTTCTTTGTTGGCCAAACTCCTTTCTGGTGAAGAAGCTGGAGAGGAAGAAAGATCATCTACTTTGATCTGGGGGTAATCATATATGTCCTCACCTATGTAAGGAGTTACATTCTCTGTGTTAGTGCTAGTCCTTTCCTCCTTTTGCACCTTCTGTCGGCGCCTCAGTGCATTGCGTTGCCTCATGGATGTGCGCCTCTCATTCAGCTCCTCTTCATCCTCTGTACTGCTGCTGCTGCTGGAACTGCTGGATTCACTCTCCTCAGGACTCGGAGATGGTGGCCGTGGGAAAAGGTCTGTATCTAGTTCTGCCTCACAGGTATTGTCATCAGAGTCAGACTCATTGGAAAGGGCCAGGAGACGTTTGTCCTGATATTTTCTCAGTGCAGAGAGCCTCTGCTGACGGGAAGCCACGTCTTCTCTAGCTGAGGAGGATGCAGTTGATCTTAAGGACCTTAAGTTATAAGTAGCTTCATCAGACTCTTCAGCCACCTGTGGTGGGGAGTGATGCAAAGAGGTGGAGGACTCCGACTCGCTATAAGCAGAGCGTTCACTTACTCCTGCGTGGAGCTGCATGATTGTGCTCTCACTGAGGTCGCTGTCTGAATCAGAACTCCAGCCCTCGATCTCCCGGCGCACCAGAGAGTCAAAAAAGGCCATCATCCGTGGATCTTCCTGGACTGATTGGTTGGCATAATCGTGTGACAAACCACTACCACTGTTCAATACAAGACTGATGTACTCTTCGTGAGTGTAGAGGCAACGCGAATCATCCTCAATTCTACCATCCAGGTCCCCTGTGCAGTCAGGCTGCTTGTAGGGACTCCAGATCTGTAATAGAAATAAAAAAAACATGTATCTTTGAATTCATAAACTATTATAAGGATTTGAAATGGAATAGTAGCTCAAATACCCAGAATAGCTGCAGGTTGCAGATTGTTTGTATTAATTTTTACCCCTCAGTACTATACTTACAAGTATTACAGAGCTGTGAGATTTTTTCTTCCCCTTTACAAATGTGTTTTTCCTGCATTTACTTCACCCATACAGAATAAAAAATCTCTCACACTGCAAATTATCCATCATTTTGGTAATTCATTGTGTGATAATTTCTCCCAAGTTGCAGGGCTCTATTTTTATGTAATAAGGGATGCTTACTCACTAACAGTAAGAATAGTTTGTTGCCTACAATACAGTCTTAGCACTAATGAAGGCACTGGTTTCCCAGGAAACTAGAGTTGCTGGTGCCAGTGGTGTAGAGTAACATTTCATCCAGCTATGTAGTCAATCCCACCTGATCAGCAGGCAGGGAGTTGAATGCATGGAGGTGAAAAGTAGAGCTGCACTTACTCCCTTTAGGAAACAGTTACAAGGAAAAGAAATCTTCCAACATCCTCTGAAGACACAGCAGCAGTTTTAAAAGGTGAAGTTGAAGAGTTTTACTGAAAGATACTTTTGAAGTGTACTGATTTCACCAACAGCAACAGTCTTGACTATGCTGTCTGTCTATCCTTCCCTCAATTTTCCTGGTATGGAAAGGAAAAGGGGAAAAAAAAGCTCCAAAGAAGAACCACCAAAATCCCTAAGAAACTGATAATCCATAGCAAATATAATAGTTGGATGTCCTCATCCTTCTCAGATTTACTCACAGATTTGGGGGCAATGTGATTATGACATTCTGTGGACAACCGCTATCACTTTGGATCAATGGTTAATGGAATGAACAATGCCTCACTGTAAGCAGAGCCAGGATGTAGCTTATCTACAACAATGCCTTAATGTTCTGCTTATAAAAGATCTGATCTCAGCCATGCTTTGGTTTTATCACGCTAACAAGCTCAGGGGAAAAAATTCAATGCCAGCTCTCTATATCAGGTTGAACTTTTGGGATAGTATTTGAAAAAAAATCTAACAATTTTCCCAACAGAAATTAATTTTTGTTCCAAACAGACAAAACTGCTAACAAAAAGAATGTTTTGCACACATAAATGACATAATCAGCACTCATCTTACAGATGTCTAGTTAACACATGCAACATAACCCAATACTACCATGATAAGCAACATAAGAAAAGAATATGAATATTCAATTCAAAATGAATACCAATTACTCTGTATTCACTGAGATTTCCAACAGTGTACAAAAAAATCTTACACCTTTAATAATGGAAGCAAAATGAAATAAATTACCTTGCACCACTTATCCAGAACAGCCGTATTTAAGATAAACAAGTAAACTTTATTATGGAAATCTCCCAAATTTGAAAGCTTTTACTTTGCATCCTCTGTAATTTATGGTTAACAGAACTTCCACACATGATCTGGCTCGATAGATAAGAGACGCTATTCCAAAATTAAAGTGGGCTGCAGATATACTTTCTTCTGTAGACAATCATCAAGCTACCTTTCAGAGCAAAGGAAAAGGAACTTTGCATTGTGTTTCATCAGGCTGTTTCTAGGCACATCTCAGCATCAAGGTGTATTTGCTATTGGTACTTAATTGCTTGTTTTATTATTTGCAGTACTTCAGGAAATTCTCTCCCACTGCAGTTCTTTAGTATGACACTTGAAACCAGAGTGAAGACATTTCTCTATTGCTTGGTTCACACACTGCACTTACCAGACACATAGCCCAAATGACAAGCATCATGTCTGGATGAAGATAACAAAATCCAGTATTAGCCTACTATGTACAGAATTTCGGCAACCAAACTTAACCTTTTTGAACTATTCAAGAAAACAGAAGGAATCACTCTTCATCCCCAATTTCCCAGGCTACACTTCCTAATGACAATGTAGGAAAGAGCTTTCTCTCAGGGAATCCATGAGAGAGATTGTTCATCTGTGGATACACCAAATTTTTTAATAGAAAAATAGAACTCTACTTGCTGAAAAGACTATTCTTGGGTTGCTGTCTTCCTAATGATTTATGTAGCATGTATTCAGTACCTTTTCTCACCTCAGATTTTCTCCCCCTTTGTCCCACTACTGAGCATTTCAGCAAGCAGATCAGATCTTTTTTAGAAGCATGTAAATTCTTGTAAATGCTCCATACTGTGTGCTTAGGCAGACTGGCATGCCCCTTCGTCAAATAATCTTAGCAGTGTTAGATTGATCACTAGGTTTTATAAAGCCTTTTTTTTTTTTTTCATTTTTTTAAGCAAGAAAATTAGAAAATGCTTAGATGTGGTATGAGCCAATATGAATGGAGGAGAGCTAGTCTGCTCCCAAGTTCCTCTGAGAAAGATTTGTTTGTAATGAAATGAATCTAAAAAGGTACATAAGGTGTGCACAGAGATATTCTACATCCTTGGTAGCACTACATCTTTCTGCTCTCTCTGCAAGCATCAGCAAAAACAGAGCAGTATAAAATATTGAAAAAATAGCTACTTAAGAGTCCACAGTGAGGCTTTTCCCATCCAAGAGAGATTTGTTCACAGAGAAGTAAGTAATAAAGAGAAGTCAAGGGAATTGAGGATGAATACCTTGTTTGTATGGGATCAGTTGTTTCTGGAGAATGATATCCCTGCATTTTAGATATTTTGTTATGAGGGCGTGCAAAGGCCTGCCAGAGTCAGAAAGAAATCAGACTAGGAATCTGTCCTTGGCAGAACGGGGAAGTATTTAAACTGGTATCAACTGATCCAATGCTCTCTGTGGCATCTGACATGGGCTTCTTGTAAATGGAATGCCTTGGCCTTTCTCATCCTATGATGCCATGTCGAGGAATAATGTGATCAAACTGAAGAAAATAAATTGGCAAATCAACCCACTGAAGCAACAATTTATCAAGAAGTTCTTTCTCTGTCAGAAGATTAAGGAGATGAATATTACTCACTGATGACCTGAGTACAGATATAGAAATAGGAACAGAAAACGGGAATACAAAACTGCTTCTCTGTTTCAATAGATATCTATTGACAGCACCTTTGAATTGCTTGTATTCCAGGGTGGCAAACCCACAAATTTTAAAACAAAAAAGCAGTTATGCCTGTAGCGTGAGAATAATTAAAAGCAGTTAGATTATCTGATTAGGCAGAGGCAGATAATCACAATGACAATAATCTGTCACCATAGTAACATGTGCAAATAGACTTTGTTATCTCCGACACACTTATGATTTTTAAACAAATGGGACCCACAACAGTTGTGCTCTGTTACACAATATTCCATTTTCAATACAAAACAGATTTTTTTTTCTGAAAATCGTTACGCATTTCATCTATTTTATCTTTCCTGTAATTGTGTCCTAACTGCATAATTCTCTATGGCCCTTCTCTAAACCCAACACATCAGAGGGAATGCCTCACTTATTTCTTCTGCAATGCAATCTGTTTTCCTGCCAGCACATCCCAATGTCCTGCACACTTAAGTGAGGGGAAAGTGGTATTTTTCTGTTTTATATTCCTTTAGCCCTTTTGGTGAATGCTTGATGCAAATGATTATTTTAATTTGCAGTTGCACTTTTTCCTACAATTTTACTGATGTTCAGTAAATGAAGGCAATGAACAATTCATTTGGGTTGATGTGTCCACCCCACCCTGTCTGGAGTCAAGGCTCCTAATGTCTTCTGTTAATAAGATTGTTGGGTCTTATTTTTGGTCCTAGCAGAAATCAAACCCTAAACCAATGAATTACGGAACTGTATCATCGAGGATGCTTTATAACAAAATAAAACTAAAACCATAAAAAAAAAACCAATCACAAACATCAAAACCATTCTTGTGAATACTACTTTTTTCTGTGGGGCTAGGCCCGAGATGAATTTGTATCTCATTTGCAATCAGCATTAAAATAGCAAATGTGTTGGCAGAAGCTCATGGAATTATTGAATGGCTTGATGCTGGTGCTATCAGTTCCTCCCTTCTTGAGGTACTAAATTTAGGCCAGCTACTCTAAAAATTAATAGCTCAGACAAACAACTACTTGCATCCACGTTTTTAACATCACCATGTCTCTACAATTGTTTCTACAATTGCAACCAACCACAGTGAAGTTATCTTCTGTGATTTAGTTCCAGAAAGGGTTTTAGAAGACACTTGAGGAATGATAAAAAGGACACTTTTTTGGAAAATGATTAAAATGAACAAAATAAGAAAATATAAAGAATTTAACTATGATTTTTATTTATGGTTCTTTATCCTGTCATCTCAATTTCCCTGAGCAAGCACATCAAGCATTTATATAGGGGAAAGACAGACAGCCATGCAAAGGACAGCCTTGTGTTCCCAGCTGTTTTTAATCCAGTAAATGGCCCCTCAGAACTGCTGGTGCTGTTTTTCCTGTTTTGCCCTTCTGCTAGTGGCAGTTACTAGTCTCCAACCTATCCACAGAAGTAGCTGGAATGAAGAAGAAAGCACCTTTGTACAGTCACCTGCAAACTGCTGTGCACTGCAGTAGCTTTAGAGAGTGAAGTCAGGCAGCTCAGACAAGACATGAGCACTGAAACAACCCAAGCCCCAAACAAGGCACATTACAGGCTGAGACAAAAGGACATACAACAAAAGGGTAAGAAGTTCTGGCTGGCCAACAAACTTAATACATTAAACACCTTTCTCTTAATTTGTTTTTGGCTTTAAATGTCTGGGGAATTCAGTTCCTTTAAAGCAGCTGCACAAGTTCCACTGCACACACAGTGACACAACAGGAGTTCTCTTCTAAGGAAGCGCTCAAGCAGAGGTGTCTTTGAAAGAGTTACACAACCTGTGACTGCAGCCTTAATCAAACTAACCTTTTAATCACTAGGCAAAAAAAAAAATGTCCTGCCAAGGCCCTAGCAGAAGTACACAAAAGCAACACAGGGGATGTTTATACCAATGCTAATCCAACAGTCTAAGCACACTCATGCAGGAAGGATTCATAGGGTGAAGTGTCAGCAGATCTAGAATCCAGAAGGCAAAATTCAGGCTGCATGAATCAAGTTCCCAAGAAAAAAAAAATGTGCCTCTGGCAAAACTGTTGTTAAACAGTGGCAGTTTGCTTGGAAATTGAAAAATCAGTGAGCTGCTAAGACTGTTCAATGCACTTTTGTTCAAGTATTTAATATATTTGTGATCAAACCTGTCAGGAAAGCATAGATGAAGAAAAAAGAACTAAAGTACCAGGGGAAGACAGGAGAGGAGGAAAGCTGAACTACAGTAAGGACCCAAATGCTGACAGTAGCTGTAATGCAAGCAATGCAGAAGGGCATTAAGCCATGGTCTCAGGATTTTGGGTGAGTTCTGATCCCTAAGTTGCACATCACTAAAAAACTCCTTTGTAGGACAAGTTCATGCTGTCAACTTGTAGCTGACAAAAGCATTTACAATATTGTAACATTATTTATAGCCACATGCAGGTAAGACTTTCATGAAGTCATTCAACAAATAGTTAGGATAAATAGCAGTTCTTTTCATCCTACTTCAAAATTAAATGGTTATGGCTTTTTTCACGCTGTTTGTCGACCTAAATTATAGCAAAATATCTATAGCAGCAGAATACAAATCACATTAGTGTAGCATAATCCTTTGCCTTCCCAACCTTCAAATAACAAAATTGGTTTTGCCTTGGTCCCACAATATTTGCTGTCTTTCCTTAAGGAAAGAAAATTTCAGAACCTATCAAAGTTTCTTATCTCTTTCAGTTCCACAGAAAAAGGTGAAAAACTTCCTAAGAGTACTGTACATTGTTAAAGGATTCAGAAAGACACTGCAAAAAGTATTAAAAGTCCTTCCTCTGGAAGCCACAGAAAATGTATGGTGAATTGATTCAAAGTACAAATATTATAGAAGTCCTTCTGAGGCATTATTCAGCCAGGTCAGTCTAGGCTAAGGTTCAACAATACTCTATGGAGATACTTTTATTACATTTTAGACCAGAGTATCACAAGTTGTAGTAGCAGATCATATTACAACTGTAACCAAACTCACCTGAGCAAATGAGACAAAACATTTTATAAAACAATAAGAGGAAAAGAAAGGATGGGTGTGAAATAGAATGATGCTGAGCAAAACAAAACATCTCTTCCTAAAAGAACACATTTTCTGATAACTAATCTTACCTTTATAATCTTTTCAACTCCAGAAGAACAGATCATGTAGGTGTGAGGATTAAACCGCACTTGGTTTACAATTGACCGGTGACCTTTTAATACCATAAAAGCACCATTGACGACCCTGCCAATGCCACCTAGGGGAAAACAAGCACACATGGACATGAATAATTAAATCTTCACATTATTTTCAGTCATAGCCATTTCAATTCTGTTATATTTGACAATGCGCTTCAGCTTTATTTTGCACTATTTTAAGGCCTGTGTTGGTAGCAGAACTCCAATTTTATGACTTATGCCCCTATGAGAAGCTGCAAGTTTGATGAAAAGCATCCTTCCTGCAAATTAAGACTTTAAGGCTTGCTTTGATTCATCTAAAAAAATAATGAATATTTGAACTAATATGACAAATATTCAAATGAGAGCAACATACATAATGAAATCACCAGTGAAATTTAAGGCATAACAGACATTTTGTAAATCTGAAGCAGAGACAAAGGACTTGGCTTTTAACAGTGATACTATTTTTCAAATTTATTTTTTAAATCAGCAATTTATTACTGTCACAGTTGACTCTAGTCTGATGAATAGGAAGGACGTGAAATAACACATCTGAACAGTGGGTTATATCATTCTTTGTCACAAGGCAGTGAATTAGCCAAAGTGGAATGCTTTTGTGCTGTTGGTAAAACTCAAAACAGGAGCCAATTAAATTTTCTGCTTGGTCATTGACTCTTATTAGGTCTATACACCAAAGTAAGAAACAGTCACACAGTTAAACACCCACACAGTTAAAACTACAAATTTGTTAGAAAGCACACCTGTGTATCTGAATAAACAAGTGCCTATCAACAAGCTATGACAACATTTTCAGTGAAAGAAAAAACTTTTAAAAGCTGGGAAATAAAAACTGACAATCACTTCAGATGAAAATCAACTTGCTATTTAAAACTTCATAGGTTGTAACACCTTACAGAAAATTAAAATAATTTCACCAGCTTTTATGCTACTTATAGTCATCTTTACACTAAAACTTTTTGTTCCTCCTGTTGAAAATGTTTGCTATCTTCCTTTGACCTCAAAAGAAGCTATTTCAGCTGAAACAGTTGCTGATTTAAGCTCTGTGTTGAACAACTTGTGTTCTAAAAGAGTTCTCCTGTAAGTCTCACTTCCTAAAGAAAAACTTGCATTACCACTGAAGAGCAGCAAGATAGAAGAGTCAAGGAAAAAAAAAAAGAAAAATTAAAAAACATTCTCATATTACCTTCCATTTGTTAGGTTACACAAACAATGAAAACAACTGTAGCTACTGAGCTTGTGTACAGCCCCTCTCCTCTTAGAAAGTGTTCTATCCCTTTCTCTCATTATGCCTGCACTCCGAAGAGTTGACTGATATTTAGCAAGGAGAACAAACCATGACAAGGATTTAGAAACGAGGTGTCATCCAAGTCCTTAAAATCCAGAGACAGATATTTTTTTACTCCTGGAAAGTGTTCTGCTTTGCACAATTTTTGCACACCAAACTGCTGTCTCATGGCACCTTGGGATAGAAAAACAAAGTTCCTGAGAAAGGGAAAAGTGATGGCAAGTAACTCCAGGGACCAAAATGCATGGCTCACCACACTGAAACTGCACTGAGACCAAGTTACTTGCAGCAGTTCTCTTATTTGGGTACATTTGTATTTTCTGTAAAGATTCAGGGATACATTCTACCTTCAGCCACTGGAGCAAGATTTCACCACGGTCAGCAAATATAACTGAGAAGTAACTGAACTTGGAGATCAAGTTCATTAAATGCCAAATTAAGCTCTTTTGATTTTCTTTCCCATTTTAAGAGATTACTCAAGTCCTTTCATTCTGCTCATCCTGCTAGACACCTATGGCTGATGGTAAGTTGCCCTACCCCCACAGAGTTCCTTCCAGCCAAATCAGAGCTGTCAGTCCAACTGTATCTAGCAAGCCAACAGTAGATGGTGACATCAACACCAGCTCTCAACACACCTTGACCTAGCAGAAGAATATTCCAAGAAAGAGGGCCTAGGGAATGAAGAGAAAGTTCACTTAGGAAATGTTTCCAAGCCTGTAAGTGATGTCTAAAACAAGTTTTAACTATCCATGGACTGTAGCTGCATGAATTCTACTAAACAAGAAATATGCCCTACAAGTTACTAACAAAAGAGTCAGAGGGACTATGAGCAAAGAAAGGATTATAATGGAGATGAAACAAATACCATATATCAGTATCTTGGGCTGCATTTCTCAGTCAGTCATTGGCCTTTTATGGTACTGTCAGCAGTGTGAATTAACCCATGGTTCTTTTCCTAGTAGAACAGTGAGAAGAGTCATTTAATGCCAGAAGTGTCTTCTGGCATTAAACTTTTGAATGTTTATCAATACACTAAGAACAATGTATGAAAAGTGGTCAGCATACCACATCTAGAACACAGGCTGCCTAGGCTGTAGTCAGATTTATCCAGTGTCTGAAGCCCAGAAAACCCAACCATATCCTGGGCTGCATCAAAAGCAGTGTGACCAGCGAGCCAAGGGAGGTGATTCACCTCTGCCCTTGTGAGACTGCACCTGGAGTACAGCATCCAGTTCTGGGGCCTCCTGCACAAGAAATACCTGGAAGTGTATTTCTGGGTCCAGAGGAGGGCCACAAAAATTATCAGAGTGAAGGAACACCTCTCCTACAAGAACAGCTGGGAGCGTTGGTGTTGTTAAGCTGGGAAAAAAGAAGGCTCCAGGGACAACTTATTGAAGTACTTATAAGAAAGACTTATAAGAAAGGGGATTTATAAGAAAGGCAGACAATTTTTACCAAGGGACAACAAGGAAAAAGGGGCAACAGCTTTAAGCTGAAAGAATGTAGGGTTACATTGGATAGAAGGAAGGTGTTTTTTCAAATGAGGGTGGTGAGGCACTGGAACAGGTTACCCAGAGAAGCTGTGGTTGCCCCATCCCTGGAAGTGTTAAAGGCCAGGCTGGATGGGGCTTTCAGCAAGCTGGTCTCATGGAAGGTGTCCCTGTCTTTGGCAGAAGGGTCGGAACTGTATTTAAAGGTCCCTTCCATCCCAAGCCATTCTATGATTCTATGGTTTTACAATTCTATGAAGGAACTCCAAAGATTTCTGATTTAATATTGAAGTTCCCTGAACTCCTTTTAGGTAGGTATAAGTAAATTCAGGGAAAGCACTATAATAGAACATACTTCCCTCCTCTTAAAATGAAGGTGAAGTTCCCCCACAATGCTCCTTAAAAGAATTGCCCAGCTACATTAAATTGCCCCAGGAGAAATACAAATCTTAGCAGTCAGCTTTTACCAATGATATGGAAGGTTTTAATAATTTAAAGCAGAAAGTATTGACTCCAGCAATACTCTCATAATCTTTGTGTCAAATATAATAGACTGCCCCAGAACCTCATTTTTGGACAATCCCTTGCTTGATGTAATTTTAGTCCACCAACTCCAATGTGCTTAAGCAACACCTCTAAGCAAGCTCTTAATGCAGTCTTCTACATGCTTATCTTGAAAGCAGTCCCTCTATTTTATAGCAGCCCACCACAGCTGTCATCATATTACATCAGTAACTGCATGGCAGAAATCTGCCTGTGTCCAGACATATCTGGAATCCCCCTGGTCCCCCTCAGCAGAGGCTTAGCTGCAGATGAACAGCCTTTATCCATCTCAGAGTGTGAGCTAAGTCATACTTGCTCATCTCAGCTGGCAAAAAGAAAAAAAAAAAAAGTGCATCTGTACATTAAGTGGAGGCTAGCCATAAAATGTTCAAATTCCTTTTTTTCCATATAATAAATTCCATTTCCTTTTGCTGTCTTCCCTTGAAATGGTATTTTTATTTGAACTGTTTCAGCAGAATTAACTTCTGCTATCCTAAAACCACTCAAATTTTGCTTTTTACATTTGGGTGGTTTTTTAGGGTTTTTTACTTATTTGCTTTTAAATTTAGCAGCATGCATGGGTTCTGCAACTCTTTAAGCACAGCAGTTTTTATATATTCTTAGCTAGCTCCAAAATATATAAGCAGTGTTCATACAGAAGCCATTAGCTTACATATCTGTTATTAATAATAGAGAAAAAAATAAATTGTAAAGTCTTCAGAAGCTGACTATGCCAATTTTAGAAGGCTTATAATTTTATAACCTCTAAGTACTGGAAGGAAGAGATGGATATGTTCTAGCTGATTTTGCAATACCCAAAAATTGCCATGCTTAAAGGCAGTCCTGAGTGGTGGTTCAATGCTCTAGCTGTGCTGGTCAATGGGGTTTTTTTGGTCTGCTTTTATTTGATAATCAAATTGAAATGTCAAGAAAATCATTCTTAATTTATACCCTGCAAATAAGTGTTCCAAAGAAGAGCAATACAAAATCTCAAAAAGTCCTTTAAATAATATCCTACTATGATATCTGACTAGCTGAAAGAAATTACTTATAAAAGGCTAAATCTAATATGTATATTTTAAAACAGATTTCCCATCCATGTTTGACAAGAATATCTCTGCAATACAAGCCTCTCTAGGCTCCTGTGCAGAGGAAGGACTAATACAATGTTTTGAAGTAGTTGATGTCTACTAATCTGCCAAAGTGATTTCTTCTTGGTTTGCTTTATTAATTTATGTTTTAAATGTTAGGCTACTACTTAATTATGTGGTTTTGTAAATACTTATGTGAATGAGCTGACATTTGACATATTGCAAACATGCTGTATGGTACATCCCAATTCATTCTAAAAACTCTAGTAACTTGTAACAAAGAAGAATGAGAGATTTAGACACCAGTCTGGCTTCAACTGCATGAGTTCTACAACAAAAAGCAGTGTCTAGAAAAAGCCAGAATAAATTAATTGAAGGATAAAGAAAAAGCAAAAGTGATAGATTACTAAGAGAAGTGTTCTAGTGCAGAAATCCTGTGAGAATGTTGAACAGTCTCCAAACTAATGGAAGCTGCATTACTCCAAACACTTAAAAAACCTGTCAAAATGCCAGAGGAACTTGTTGGGATAAGGAACTATCCTCCACTGGCTCTGTAAGAGAGGAATTAAATGACCTCATTAAGAAGTCTTTTCTATCTAGGACACTGGAAAAGAAATCCCACTGTTTGTTCATATAAGGTAGAAAGA